AAGTTGTACTACAAAGTCGCCAGTTCTCATCTTCCAGCTCCCCAGATACTCCGCGTACTAAAGTTGTACTACAAAGTCGCCAGTTCTCATCTTCCAGCTCGCCAGATACTCCGCGTACTAAAATTGTACTAAAACGTCGACACGCACGATCTCCGCAGAGGGTTGCTCCGGACCGGGTCAAAACGCACTCTCGCCTGCACTTCGCGCCCTCGACGCGAACGATCTCCGCAGAGGGTTGCGTCGGACCGGACAAAAACGCACTCTCGCCTGCATTTCGCGCCCTCGACGCGAACGATCTCCGCAGAGGGTTGCGCCGGACAAAAACAAATCGCACTCTCGTCTGCATTTTGTGCGCTCGACGCGCACGATCTCCGCAGAGGGTTGCGTTTCGTGGCGGTCCGGCGGCACTGCCCCCGGTCTTAAGAGAGGAAGTTAAGAAGAGCGAGAGGTGAAGATGTGAGACGTAGATGAGAGGTAAAGATGTGGGATGTAGATGTGTAGATGTGAGGATGTGAAGATGAGCAGACATGTAGATGTGAGGGTGCGAAGATGAGCAGAGATGTAGATGTGCAGATGTGAATGTAGATGTGAACATGAGCAGACATATAGGTGAGAATGTGATTGCGCAGAGGTGAAGATGTGAAGATGTAGATGAGGTGTAGTTCTGCTGAAGATGTAGATGAGGTGTAGTTCTGCAGATGTTTTTTTACGAAGAACCCTTCGCAGGCGCTCTCGGGAAAAACAAGAGAAGAAAAGAAAAGAAAAATGCAAAAAAAAAATAAATAAATGCATGTTTCTTACAAGAAAATCAAGGAAAACACCTGAGCTGTCTCTTTCCATGGCACTGATCGATCCCTCGCGTCTGAGCTGCAACTGCCGAGGTGAAAGGATGGTGAAGGAGGTGAGCCGGGCAATGCGCACGACATGGCCAGTCGAAGAAAAACGGTACAGTAAGAGTCCAAAGGGCTCAGGTAAGCCTCCGCCCTAATCGCGATGGCCTCCAACCCTAGAAGGCTCCTAAGAGGCTTCTTGAGGCTTCTGACCCTAACTGGAATTCGTTCTTTCGAGGCCACGGCATCAGCACTGAGAAGACCACGGCATCCGCCTAGACCTTCGTCGATGACTTAAACGTCCTCTTGCTCCCAGTAGCGATGCCAGGAGCCCCTAGTAGCGTCCTTGCTCCTAGTAGTGGGGCCAGGAGCCCGCCCCTAGTGGGGCCAGGAGCCCCCACAGGAGCCCCTAGTAGCGTCCCTGCTCCTAGTAGTGGGGCCAGGAGCCCGCCCCTAGTAGCGTCCTTGCTCCTAGTAGTAGGGCCAGGAGCCCCTAGTAGCGTCCTTGCTCCTAGTAGCGATGGCAGGAGCTAGTAGCGTCCTTGTTCCTAGTAGTACGGCCAGGAGCCCCGTTCGTAGCTTCCTTGCTCCTAGTAGCGTCCTAGTAAGGCTCCTAGTCGTAGCGTCCTTGTTCCTAGTAAGGCCAGGAGCCCCGTTCGTAGCATCTTGCTCCTAGCGGCGATACCCTTTGTTACTAGTAGCTTCTTATTACTAGTCATGAGGACATTTTCGTCGACTGAGGTTTTACTTAGTTGAGCGTCTTGTGCTCAGTTTTGTCTGAGGTTTTTGCTTGGATAACTCGCGTCCTCAAGAACCTGACAAAACACGCATCGACACAGGTTATTGATGGCGTCAAACACATGCTGGGTGGGCAGAAAAGGGCAAAGAAGGGCAGCTCTCTCTCGCCCGCTTGGCTCTCTTCGCTCTTGAAGCACCTTGAACCCAAGCACAGTTCACAACCAAAATCACTCTCTCTGTCTCTCCGTGTCTCTCTCTCTCTCTCTCAAGTGACATCTTCACTGTTCTTCACTGTTTCTTGCGGTGTGCGCTGTTCTTGCACTCTGTCCCTGACAGGAAGGTTCAATTCAGGTACGAAAGGACAGAGCAAAACGCACTGAACCGAACTCAGCAAGGAGATAAAGCAAATCGGTTTGCCAACTTAGTTGTGTGTGTTGCAGTGAGGTATTGCCTTCACCTTTTAGCAAATTCAAAGGTTGCAGTTTGCGCAATTCAAAAATCAGCCTCGGCACTGTGACAAATTTCAGTGCTCGGCGTTTACAACGATTTCACGTGAAACGATTTCATCGGTCCACAAGAAATCTACATGTCCTGCAGCTGCTTTGCTTCACACAGTGATGCAATACATGTGGAAAAGTGTCCCATCCAAGACTGCAGCTTCAGGGAGGATAAACGAAGATAATAAGCAAATTTATGGAAACCCATTGTTGGCTCCGTACTCCCTCAGAGTGCTACTTGAACTAGAAAGAGTCAGAAAGAGTACCGCCAGTTGAAAACCATGCAATTTGCATGGGAAACCAATCCATGCGCAAATCCATGCGCCGATCCTTTAGACTAAGCAAAACGGATGAGGAGGATGGTGGTGTCGTCAGAGAGTTCATCGCCCTCCATCCGTCTCACAGCCTCAGTTGAAAAGGTTTGCAAGCGAAGCGGCGAAGCGGTACTTTGAAAAAATGTTGTCCTTTACTACTTGGCCCATCCTATACTTAATTAAGGGAGCAGTTCGCTACTAGCCATAGGAAGCTCCTAGCTAGGACGCAGGATAGCTCACACTCGCACTAATCAATTGGTTCCTAGATTTTTAGGGAAACTGAACTCGACGTTTTGCACAACTCAAAAATCCTCCGTCCTCCGTCAATGCTTTGAGAGCAATGGATGGCATATTCTGGAATTTGGCCACAATGCGAATCACCTCCCGGGCAAAACCAAGACATTAAAAACCATTAAAATGCAAAAACCTGTCACATGGGATATGTTAAATTGCGGATGCTGACAAACAGCCTGAGAGAGAAAGAACATACAACATGGCTCTATCAAGCACAAGCCTATCCTTGGCGTGCCAGCCCCTACACTTCAACCTAGTAGCGATGGCCTCCAACCTAATAGCGGTGGCCTCTAAGCTAATAGTGATGGCCTCCAAGCCAATAGTCATCCAACCTAATAGCAAATTATTGTTCAGATTTGAGCAATGCACTAAGAAAAGTTTATTGGATATGGCCTACTAGGAGCAAGGACGCTACTAGGGGCTCCTGGCATCGCTACTAGGAGCAAGGACGCTACTAGGAACAAGGGGCATCGCTACTAGGAGCAACTAAGTGAAGAACGTAACGGTTCAGCTTCTGAACATGTTTCTTGCGTTCAACACAGGGCATTGCATACGTGAGAATCACATCCTGCCTCCTGATTGTCAAGGGAGTCCCACAAGCCATCCGTTGCTATGATGAGGAACTTGTCCTAGCGAGAGAAAGGCGTCACCACAGTCCGGCCATTTCAGGGCCGTGGTCGCGCTCCTGTGGTTGCAAATGGTGCTTTGTTACCTAACAGCAAAAACACGCAAAAACATGCAAAAACAACCATCTTCTCCCTCTTTCTCCCTCTCTCTCTGACTAGCAACTTAGTCATGAATGTTTCGCGGTTTCTCTCGTTTTGATATCACGTTGAGGGTTCAGCCACGGGGATCGCTGTTACACCTAGAGCTCTGGCAGCACCATCCCCCAGACTCCGTGACCTCGGGATGCAAATAGAGACTACTTCACCAACCCAAACAGACTACTTCGTCACTGTTCGTTTGTTGACAAAACAGTTGAGTTCGTGTCTTTCTTCGAGTCTTTTTCGCTGTAAGTTCACCCTTTCGCGAAACGGACACTTCTTGAACCAAAACATTGAAAAGGAACTCTTTCGATTTGGACCAAAACGACGTAAATCTGGGACGTTTTTTAAGGTCATGGCACTGCCAAACCAGGCTTCTCACAAGCAGGTCCATCCCACACCTAATTAAGCCGACACAAAAGGAACAGGGAAGAACCATAGGGCCTGCCATAGGGCCTTTCCGGCACGTTTTCACTCCTCTTTTTCCAAGATTTCGGCTCGGAATGGACCAGCCTAAGTGAAGCCAATAACGAAATCAATGTTCTTAGGAGAAACCATTTCAATTCTTGAAACAATGTGTAAAGAACAAAGAAGGAGAAGGAGAGCTGCAATAAAAAGGAAGAAAAACTTGTCCAAAGAAGAGCCGCACCTCTACTCCTTCATCATCGCGAAACTGACAAACGGTTCCTGAAAAAGATATCACTAAGTAAGCAGAGTCACCAAAGAAAAATTTAAGTATATATTCAAAAGAGTCACTAGTACCTACTAGTACTGACTTGTGAACAGGGACAACTAGTCTTGGTAACCTGTCCAAACGCAGCTGCCCAACTGTTTTCTGCTCAAGAGTTCCGGGTCGTGTGAGACGGCACGTGAAGCTGCTGGCGCTCTCAAATAAACGCTCTGTTCACTTGAGCCAAAACAAGTGTCGTGAAACAACTGTACACACACGCAAGAACAAAGAAACAAAGGCTGGTAGGGACTGTCACACCCGCCCCGGCTCTCAGTCCAGCCCGACACCAAGCTTTACCACTCCGTGTGGATGCATCCGGAAGGATGTCCAATTTGACCACGACCACCATGTAGGCCTGCGGAGGTGCAAGCACCAAGCAGCTCTTGGCGTGCTGGATTCCCTTCAATCCACTTCCGATCTTCACTGACCTGCCATCTTCCTGGTAGGTCTTCGCGAGCTTTCCTCCGCGCGCCATCTTAACCTGATGCCCGTGGCTCCTGATCTCCATCAAACTCTGCAGTTGCATTTTCGTTCGACTTTCATGCGCCTGACCTGCTAGGATCTGGATCCTCCCTTTGCGCTGACCATCGACCTCACTAAATCAGGCTGGTCCAGCGAATAAGCGGTCAGGTCGACCTCTATGCCTCCTGTGGGGGCCACGCCCTTGCCACGGGCCGCTGGCTCCCCCGCACCTGTGTCCTTTCCCTGGACCGCGAGTTGCCCCTCTTCTTTGACTTTTCCGTGCGTCAACCCCTTGAAACATCCACCACCCGATTTCATTGAAGTGTTCGGCTTCTCGAGGCTAAACAGACGTTGAGCCTTGTCCACCATCCCAGTGAAGCAAAGAGCTCCACTGACGCCCATTTCTCGAAGGGCTGCTGCACCTCTGTCCTTTGCCGTTGAGGCTTCTTCAAACTGGACGGCTCTAGCAGGAACCAATCTTGGTCGACGGCGGCATCGATGTGCCCGCACGTCCCTGAGTCGATGAAGCCCCGGCAAGCGCAAGCTGGCTGACGAGGCGTCGTCAACCTGATCCACACCACACGCTTTCCTTTTGAGGGTGTGAGGGGGAGGTGTGTGTCTCTTAACGCACTGTGAGGGCGGAGGGGGAACAGAACGCAGGTTGTCTGAGACCATCAGCCTTATATTCCAAAAGCTTGGTAGGCAGGGAATTCCCGCGATGGGCTCTGACTAGCCTGTTGGCAACGACTCTGCCAAGGAACCACAGCGCAATGATCCCAAGGCTCAACAGCGCGGACTTGAAGATCAGGCCCGTGACCTCAATGCTCTGAGCCGTCGTCTCCTCAATCTCACAGATCACCCGGGACCCGAGGCTCTGATGCTGTCAAGCACCTCTTCAGCCTCCTGCTCGCTCCTCCAGGCGAGCGGCACCAAGCTTGCAGCTACCAGCACCTTGACCGCCAGGTCAAATGTGAGCCCATTCCCATTCAGCACGCGCTGCAGCTTGTTCAGCAACTTGCGGGGCAGAAGATGCTCCTTCCAGCGCCTGTTCACCAATCCCTTCCTGAAGCCAATCTTAACCACTCTCACGGTGGGAAGGCCTTTGACCCCCCGCGGCACCGTGTGCCCGCGGCGAGGTTGATGGTGAACAATCCCACACCGGCACACCTTCTTTTTGTTGTGCTTCCTGCCACCACGCTTGGCTTCAGGCATCCGGCTGAGCGTTTGTTGCGCACGCCTGTCTCTTTCTGAGTCCGAGCTCTCATCATCCCCACGATGTCGACTGCGGAGGGTGGAGCACTGGTACATTTGATGCGCGAGAGCATGTCCTCTCCGCCGCATGCGTCGCATTCCCACCTACCAGCTGCAAGGGCCTTAGCAAGAAGAGTCGAGAATTCAGCCTTTCTCGCAGCCCGCTCTCGCCTCCTGATCTCGCGGTAGAGTTCGTTGGCCCATTCAGTAGAGTTCCAGAAGCTGTCGTCGCGCACATAGCTGTATTCATCTCCTGGCGCATTCACTGCACCACGTATGTGGTGGACCCAAGACCCCCATTCGAAATGAACCGGCCTCAAGGAGACCCGTTCCCTGCTCGAGGGTTCAGGCGGGGGTTCATCCGGATACCGGGCGGTGAGTCCGGACTCCTCGGCCTCCGAGGCGGTGAGTCCGGACTGCGTGGTCGCAGGCTCCTCTCCTTCCTCGGCGCCATACCCTCACGTCTCGAACTCACACCCCTGACCCGCAACCGGCTCCTTCCAGCGTCGCCCCTCCACTCATGATCCCGTCCGGTCGCCTCTTCTTCATGAGACCGCTACTTCTTTTCCTTCAGGCTTGAGTCTCTTCCTTCGGTCCCAAATGGCCTTTCTCTGAATGACTTTCCTTTTTGCGCCTCTCTCTCCTGCCGCCTTGGCTTCTAGGTCAGGGGATTCGGCTCCTTCTTCTACTTCCACCAATTCAATTCCTCCTCCTCATCCTCAGTTGGCTCTAAGGTTGGCTCTTTTTCCCTCACGCTCACCGGCCGCAGACGGAGCTGCTCCTGGCTCTGTCTCTGAGCCCCGCTCCCAATGATGCGTCTGCTGATTGCGGCGCTCCTTCTGCTTCTGGTTATTCTTCTTTCTCAGCTTCGGGAGGCGCGGCCTTCCGGCCCGCGACCTCCTCCACCACGACTTCAGCGTCCGCAGGCGCCTCTTCCATTTCGGCCGCCCCTGGCGCTCCCGAACCTGATCCTGCAGCCTCAGCAGGCGGTTCCTCTTTCACAGCTGTCCCCAAAGTTGATTCATCAGTCGTGGCATCGGTGTCACCATCTGGAAGTTCGATGAGCTCGGTGGACCCTTATATTCCCGTATGGACCAGCTGGAACCCGATTCCGTGATCTCCCCTGAAACTTGACTAAAGACCCTGGGCTCATCACCGATTGAAACAATCCGGATTAAACTTTCCGGCGGAGCTTCTAAAGCCAGGAGCACGGAGGACACCCCGCGCTCACCATCCGCTCCATGGTAGAGCTTGACTCCACGCTCCCACAGACGCCGCGCAGATGCCTCTACCATGCCGTCGAGCCCGCACGTCGCACCGCTCCAGAACAGTCGCATGCCAAAGGGACACGTCCCCGTCCAAGCCTCGTTCCGCAAGGGACTGGTTAGTCACCGGTCTCCATGGTACACTGGCCTGCGTCACTGATTCCGCTATCCGACAAGTGGCCTTGCACTGCCCGGATCCACCCATCCCAGTTCCGCTGCCTTCTTCATGTGGGCAAGTGGCACCTGAAAAGCGCAGAGGACGCCTCCAGGCAGCCTTCCAGATCCAAGTGACCTCGGCGCTTCTACCCACCATGTCGGTAGGCCTTCGTCATGGCGCGCCCCATCTCCCCAGAATCTTCCCAGTAGCGCTTCCTGCCCGGAGCGCTCCACGCCTTCTTGCCCATCAGGCCTGCAGGGCGAAAGTCCGCGGCCAACCGCGTCCGACTCCCGACTGCGGTAGCTCTGAACAGCGGAGTGCTTCCGGGGAATCCAGAAACCGAAGGACCAGTGACCCGCGGGTTGCACCGCGTCCACCGGCACATTTTGGCACGCTCTTCGGACTTCGTCCTCCGCCTGATCGTCTGTCAGGTACTTGCCATCAACCACTCCGCATGTCCTGACCGTCAGGTCGTCAACATAGGCCACCCACTCTCGGGTGTACTTCATCTTCCTTCCTCTTCCAGGAGCGTATGCCCGATCCACGACATACAGAAATCATCCGGCCCATTGACCGGGCCAAAAGTCAAGCTAAGCTCCGGACCTTTGCCACATGTCCAAATTCAGCCGGCAAGTACCCTCTGAGCCACTTCCCGCGCCTAGGACCTGTTGAATGTGGACCTTCTCCTTGAGCGGGGGAAAACCCACCAGCTTGGCACCTTTCGGGATCAGGGAGCATACCATGCCTCCCAATGAGATGTCCGAGCAACTTACCACGCTCGACGCAGATCTCAGCCTTGGGAACACCAAACGAAAAGACAAAAACAATCGATGAAACAAGGTGGTCCAACAAGAAGGGGTCAGCCTTCGGATGTCCTTAACTGCTCATGGTAGTAATCAGTGGGGATCTCTTCGCCTTTTTTTCAAGTCCCACTGATTCCACTATGTGGAGACACAGGTTCATCTTCCAGGCAACCTCGCGTAAAGAAAACCGCGACTTTGCAGTGCACCAATTCCCCTTCCACTCACTGGGAACTGATCGATGCCTTTCCAGGTCACAAGTGCCCAACGATGACCACCCACTGTTGTGCATGACAGAAACCGAAAGGCATCGCTACTAGTGGCAAATAGCTACTAGTAGCTCCTGGCCTTAC